TGGTCAAAATAGGTGACTCCACTGTTCTTACCATCACGGAGAAGGTCAGGGTTATCCCTGTTACCTGCGACAGTGTTGGAGAAGTCAGACACAATCTGAACTTCTACATATTCCCTGATTTACCCTTTGACCTGGTGTTCTCTATGCAGTGGCTAAAGGTCGTCAACCCAAGGATCGACTGGCAGATCCCAAAGGTTGAACTGCCTAACAGACAGGGGGTGTATCAGCAATGTATGATTGTTGTTGAACACCACCCGAAAACCAGTTGCTATTGTTTGAGAGCGAGGGAGTTATATGCTCTCTCGCGCCAGTATGACCATGAGCGCCTGTTCTCAGCTCTGGTCAAGCAGACAGGCGCTCCTACTATTTCCTGTCCTCCTGAGATACAGCAGGTTGTGGACCAGTACGCTGATTTGATGCAGGAGCCCTTTGGGTTACCCAACCGTCCAACCAAGCATCACATTGAGCTACTACCTGGAGCGGTCCCTCCCAAGGGCCGCATCTACAGGATGTCCCCTGCTGAGCTTGAGGAGCTCAGAAAGCAGCTTGAGACCCTGACCAGCAAAGGTTGGATACGACCGAGCACTTCTGAATTTGGGTTACCAGTCCTCTCCGTCCCGAAAGGGAATGGAAAATTCAGAATGTGCATCGACTACAGGGGTCTCAACAAGATCACTAGGAAGAGTACAAGGCCACTTCCTAGGATCGATGACCTCCTGGATATGGTGCAGGGATGCACTGTGTTTAGCAAAGTCGACCTCAAATATAGGTACCACCAGATTGAGATGGCAGAGGAGGATGTCTATAAGATAGCCTTCAAGGCCAGGTATGGTACTTACGAGTTCCTGGTCATGCCATTTGGACTTTGCAACGCCCCAGGTACCTTCCAGACAGAGATGCACCGCATCTTTAAGCCTTACCTGGACAAGTTCATGGTTGTCTACCTGGATGACATCCTGGTATTTAGCCGAACTGCCAGGGAACATGCGGAGCACTTGGCTCTAGTCCTTCAGTCATTACATGACAGCCAGTATAAGATTAACAGAGAGAAGTCCTCGTTTGGAGTTCCCTCTGTCATCTATCTGGGTCATGTGATCTCTGGAGATGGCCTGGCTCCTGAAGCAACCAAGATAGCTGCTATTCAGGAGTGGCCACAACCACAGTTAGTGAGGGATATCAGGTCCTTCATGGGTTTAGCCTCATACTACAGAAAGTTTGTCAGGAACTTTTCCGCAGTGGCTGCACCCCTGACCAACCTAACAAAGAAAGACACTCCTTTTCTTTGGTTCCTTCCCTGTCAGTTGGCCTTCACACGACTCAAGAAGGCCTTGACTCGTGCGCCAGTGCTGAAGTTGCCTGACCCCATTTTGCCATTCATCCTGACCACTGACGCCAGTCAGTATGGCATTGGGGCAGTTCTTCCGCAGGATGATGGGAATGGTCTATGGCCTGTAGAGTTCATGAGTAAGAAGATCAAAACTCAAAAGCTTCAGGACTCTACCTATGAGAAAGAACTATATGCTCTTATTTGTGCCCTGAAACATTGGAAGCACTTTCTCATGGGAAGACACTTCAAGATCTTTTCAGACCACTCCACCTTACAGTGGATGAAGTCCCAGGGAGAGTTAAACGATAAGTTGGCACGATAAATTCAGTTCATAGACATGTTTGACTTTGAACGGAAGCATAAGAAGGGCTGCTACAATAAGGTAGCAGATGCCCTCTCTCGTAGGCCCGACTCTTTTACATTGATCTCCTCTACTCACTCCTTTGGAGAGGAGACCCGTCAGACCATTGCTCGTTTTCTGCCTCAGGACCCGACTTATGGACCCATAGTCAGGAATCTGCAAGCGGATCCCAATTCTGAACCCGGCTATGCACTGGGTTCAGGCTTGCTGTATACCTACTGCAGAGATGAGGAACGCTTGTGCATTCCCCAGGATCAACGGCTCAGGACACTGCTGATGTCAGAGTGTCATGATGCTCGTGGACATTTTGGGTTCTTAAAGTCATATGCAACCCTGTCGCAGCGCTTCTTCTGGAAGGAGATGCGGAGTGATATGCTGCGCTATGTGGAAACCTGTGAGCTTTGCCAGAGGAACAAGGTCCAGCGTAGGCCTCCTCTGAGACTATTCAAACCCTTACCCATACCTGATGGCCCTGCTGAATCTGTGTCGATTGATTTCACAGATTTAGGCAAGACCACCCATCGTGGCATGCGTCAGGTAATGGTCTGTGTGGACAGGTTTTCCAAATACGCAGAGTTCATCCCCTTGCCAGAGGTAGCTAGAGTCCCGGTTGTGAGAGCAGCCTTTTCAGAGAGGTGGGTCACACACCATGGACCGCACACTTCTATAGTCAGTGATAGAGACCCCTGATTTTGCAGCGATGAGTGGCAGTCCTATTGTAAGGACTACCTGCATTCACGATTGGACATGACTTCTGGTCATCATCTTGAAGCCAATGGTCAGGCTGAAGTGATGAACCAAGTCTTATTCCAATTGCTGCATCATGTCATCTCTCCAGATCAGCAGGACTGGGATCTCCACTTGGCTATGGCACAACTTGTTTATAACATGTCTGCCCATTTCTTGACTGGGTTCAGTCCATACCAGTTGCACTGGGGAAGTGAACCACGACAGCCTCTCGATGATATCATCGATAAGGCTAAGTCAGACCTGACCCCAAGCACCGCAGAGTTCACCAGACGCTACCGCATAGATGTGGAAAGGGCACGGGCGAACTTGTTCAAAGCCCACAAGGCATGATTGAACAAGCTAATCGCCACAGGCGGCCTTCCCCCATCCGCACTGGTGATTATGTCTGGGTAGCCAGTGCTGAGTTGTCGAGGGAGGAGGATATCTCCCCAAAGCTGTTGCCTCATTATTTGGGTCCATGGCAGGTCTTAGATACAATGGGCGCTGATCCATTCGGCCCATCCTATGTCATCGACGTCCTGCTGCATCTACGAACCTACCCGGTCTTCCATGCATCTAAGCTGCTTCCATTCACTCCAGTTGGTGCATTCCCAAACCGGCCCCCTCAATTTGGTCCACCGATCCTTGGCAAGGGGTATGACGCGGAATGGATTGAGGACGAGTGGGGCACAGGCCCCGACCGGCAGTATCTTGTGAGGTTCGCTTTCCAGCCCCCTTCTGAGAACAGATGGTTCTACAGAAAGGAACTTCTCAAGACAACAAAGTCAATTGTTCTGCGATATGAAGCGGCTTAGAAGGGCAACCTTCCTCGCCGTTCACCTCGTCTGCATCCCTAGCTCGGAGGTCCTCGCTCCCCGGGGGGGTAAGCCTGCAATGACTTGCTGATTTTGACTGGCGTGATTGACTGCGAGGCTGTACAGTGCACTGTTGTGTTTGCTGTGTGTTTTGCTGTGTGTTTTTTGGGCCGCACTGAGGGTCGCCCGCTGTTCTAAAAATAGTCCGAATTAACAGCAGTAGGACCGATTTCGTAGAGGCTGAGCAGGCCCTAAGTGAAACGGTACCGGTAGGTCCTAGGCTAGGGTAGTGAAGAATCTACAAGTAGGTTGAGGTAGGACTGTTCATGACTTTTGGCTGTTCATTTTTCGCGAAGCAGCGTTTGGAGAAGCCAAGCAAGTTGGCGGTGGCAATTGTCTGCAGGCGGCATCCTGAGAACTTTGCCGTGGACGGCAGCCATAGCCGGCCTTCTGAAGGTTGTCAGAGTTGGGACATCCTCAGCGCGTCTACCCTGGGGGTATCTGCGTCAGGCCAGGCTATGTCGAGGCTCTTCACTGAGTATTCGTGGGTGGCGGCAGCCATAGCTGCCTGTTTCTTCGTCAAAGTTGTTCATCGGCACTGAAGACTTCAATGCAGGATCTGTTCTTCATCTGGGTGGTTGGCGCTGGCCTCTAGGAGGCCATTTCGGTGTTGCGCTACTAACTGGGTGCAGGGGAGAGAGTGGAGTGTGAGGTTCTGGGTGTCGCGAGATACAGGAACAAACTCTCTAACGATATTTGGTTTTAATTGGCTCATCATCAGTGTGATTCCGATTGTTATCCTCGCAGGCTTCTTCTTATGATTGGTTGTTCCCGCAGTGTCTTCTCCCCATCTTTGCATGGCTGAACTTCCGCTACATCCTCTGATCTGTGTACAGTTGGACTCTGTCTCCTCTCCCCCTTCTCTCATGCATGTATGGGCGTGTATGAGACTGTCTGTGTGTGAGTGGCGGTAAAAATCGTCAGACAACCAAGGTCATAACAACTTGGACGAAAATGGGGTGCTGGATATCCAGCCTGACTACATATGAATTTTCAGCTTTTTCCTCTTAGGGTTTAGGGTTTAGGGTTTTGAATTCAGGCTATAGGGTTCAATACCCTACCCTACCTTCTACCCTTCTCTACCCTGCCCTACCTTTTACACTAACCTGCCCCATACCCTACCCTGCCCTATATCCTACTCTAACCTTCTACCATAGGGTAGGGTATTTGACATCGAGTCATTGCTGCTGGAGATTCCCGCTGAGGATCCGTCAGTGTTGTTTTTTTTTTTTTTTTTTTTTTTTTTTTTTTTTTTTTTTTTTTTTTTTTTTTTTTTTTTTTTTTTTTTTTTTTTTTTTTTTTAAGGGGAAAAATTAGATCCTTTTGTGAGTCAGCAAGCACAGTGGTAGGAAATGGAGCAGCAGTTGGATCTGTGTCTTTTTTTCTTGTTTTTCTTGGAAATGGGAGACACCAACCAAAGTTTGCCAGCGAACACGAGTTGACTGCTCTTTTTGAGATGGGGACTCGTTACTTTTCCGGCCTCACGGGACTATACTTGGGACTTGGGACTTGCACATTTTTGGACTTGAGACTACATTTTGGGACCTGGAATTTTGTTTTCAGGCCCTGGGACTATGCTTTGGGACGAGGGACTTGGGACTACTTTTTGGGACCTGGAAGTTATGTTTCAGGGCCTATTACTATACTTTAGGACTTGGGAGTTGGATGTTTTCGGGCTCGGGATAATTTTCTTGGACCTGGAACTTACCGAGGGTGCCGAGCCGGGAATTGTAGATTAAGTGGGAGCTCAACAAAGTGGCCAGCGCAAAGATCTTCGCATCGTACAACCTTGTCGCTCCCTCTCCATACAAACCCTCCGTGTCTACAAGGATAACAACAGAGCCATCACAACCTTTCACCGCCTCTTTTGGGAGAATCCGGATCCACAACCCCCTCGTCTCCGGATGCGGTGTGACCCCCACAGGAAAGCCAAGGGTGGAATTTACCAGCACATTCAGCAGAAAGGATTTCCCTCTGCTCAAAACACAAGAAACACAACAGAGCACGCACCCATACTGTCAGCTCTCAGCCTCATTAACGACAACAGAACGTAAACGCTAAAGTGCAATAACACGACAAAGGCTTTCTGTGTGTGTGTGTGTGTGTGTTTGCGTGGTACAAGATTTCCACAACCGTGCCGCGGCATGTTGCATCGAGAGGTATGCCTATAATCAACACACGAAACAGAGCTCGCAGCCAGGCATGCTCATGAAACGAACACACAAAACGTCATGCTTTGAAAGGCCATGAAGCGACAAAAGAACCATGAGGCAGCAAGCAAGGCAAACAGCAGCACGGCAAAAAAAAACAGCAAGGCAAAAAAAACGGCAAGGCAAAAAAAAACAGCAAGGCAGAAAAACACAGCAGTGCAAAGTCAGGCGGCAACAAGGGCATTGGATGACAAGCAGCAGCAAAGAACATGGGCTGGAGGGCGTGGTGGAGGCGGGTGGGAAGACAAACAGTTCTAGGCAGCAAACGAAAAAGTAACAAGCCAAGGAGCAGCAAGGCAAAGAAACAACAAGGCAGACAAAAAGATCAAGTGAAAAAAAAAAAACAAAAAAAAAACAGAGTGAACAAAAAAACGAAAACACTGATGATAGATTGTTTCATCCATCGGAGTTTCACCTACTGACTCATCAAGAGGAGGCTGGACCCTTTACAATCTGCAGAGTCCCCTAACCGATGGTACTAAAATGGTAATCAACCTTAATGCGAGGATCTGGGTCCTCGGCAGGCCTAAGGGGCCCTTGTTGCGGATGTGCCCGCCCTAAGTGAAGGCGGGCCGAACAAATCGCGAAAGGCCCTAAGCTGTCAAATTCGTATTTGGGGTCCAGGCAGTTACGTCACGCCAGTTGGTTGAGGGAAACACAGGTGAACAGCGAGAAATTCCACGGCCTTCCGGGCTTTCCAGGAAAATGCAGACCCTGGGCGAGAATCGCAGCCTCGTACACAGACAGTTGGGAGGCCCAACCGAATGAGGCCCAGTAGCTGCAACAGAGGCGCAGCATCCTGGGTCCTACCGGAAGCTTCTGGGCCGAGGCCCAGGCAAGCCAGGCTACGAAGGCAGGCCGGCTCTTTCCATATAGGAAAGAGCTCGCTGCCTGGGCTCTAATTCAGCACTTGCATGCTGGCGGCAGCGCTGCTGGAGCGGACGCTCGTGGGCTGCTGCTGGCGCTGAGAGGCAAGGTGCTAGCGCGCGCGGTCGTGCAGGGAGCAGGGCGCTACTGAGGGCAGCGCCATAGCCCAGCCTCCATAGCTGGATGGGCTTGGACTACAGTGAGGCGCAGGGGTGGTCTTCGGGTATACAAGAGGGAAGACGTGGGAGTAAGTGTGGGGAGAGACAGAAGGATGATCATGACGATGATGTGAGGGCACATACCTGGTATTGGTGATGGTCTGCTATGGGCGACATCTTCAAGTACTTCATGGGCTGCTGACGTCAACAGTTGGATTGTCAATTAGTAGAAAGTAGGCTGCGCGCCAGGCGCCAAGTAGGGAGATAGTGCCTGGACACTCATGTTGGTGGTGGCGAGAGCAAGCTCGCATTGACATTGGTTTTCAGTGTTACGATTCTTCATTGGTGTTATATTGGTGCATTTCTGCCTTATCTGGCCTTCAATGTGATTGTGCATTCTGGACATTGTCATCTCGCTATTGCTCATTTCCCTTGCAATTTGGTATCGGAGCTGGTTCGAACTGTGCTTCATCGACTCTTCGCAATAGCTGTTTGGTGCTTCGCATGAGGTGTGGGGCAGTAATAAGGCTTGGGTGTTGAGTGATAGACGGCCCAGGGTCGTGTGGGCGCGCCAGGAAGCTATGTGGTGACATTAGGGGTGTACGCTGGATGATGAGAGCTCGCTGATGTGGCATTTAAGCCGAGGTGGAACTGCATTCCGCTGTTGGTTGTGCCGAGGCAAAGACCGGTCATCGTAAATGCACATCAGGTTGCCGGTGAGAAATCTGTGGTTGGGGCCAGCATTATGAGGTACGTTGCTCTCTTCCTTATCTACCCTCTCCATTACTTCTTACCGTGAGGAAGTGAGTTCTGTCTTGAGAGTCCTCTCAATGTGAGGTGTCGCGAGCGCTCAACCTTAAGAGTCGACATTCTTCCTGGGCAGCAAGCTGGTGGGAGACGGGCAATGCCTCTGAAGGGCGCTGGACGAAGCACTCGGGTCACGGTCACCATGCCAACCCGCTGGGACTAGTACACGCATGCTTTGCGTGCAAGTCTGCGCGATAGAGGTCAAGCAGGGCATGCCAGCCCTTTGAACAGACACTTACCAGACCGTCTTTAAATATTTCTGGCGGGGACTCGGTGTTGACTCTGGCTGTGATCGTCGTCCTGTCTGCGACGTTAAATAATTCCCGAGGACCTTGAGGGCTGTCCTTAAACTGCCTCTTGATCAGCCAGATCAAACCGGGTGTAAGGCTCGTTGCATGCGAGGATAAATAAGGTGGAAGGGCTGGTAGGTTCAACGTAGACTTGGGGCACAGGGGTGGGCCGGGTTGCACACCTTCAGACACGCTGGTCAACCAGATGCTTAGGGCATTGACACAAAGTGACAACTCAAGAAGGATACAGGGAGAAGGGGGATTCCGGTAACTGTTCGTTGTGGCACTAATTCGACAAACTGCCATCCAGCATGCATCTCTGCAGGGAATATTATTTTTATTTTTGATTATTACAGACTTGACCAACAACTGACAGACAGCTGCAGATAGAATAGTACATTCCTTGCTGCATGCAAACTGTTTCAGAGTAATCTAAAAATAGCATGGCTACGCCGGACCCGGACCCGGACATTTCCGGATATGGAAACGGACCCGTGTCCGGTAGTTTCCGGACATTTCCGGACCTCCGGACATGGGGGATCCGGACGGTCCGGATGTCTTGACAGGTCCGGAAATGTTCGGACCATTAAAAAAAAAAAAAAAAAAAAATTTGAAAGAAAAGTATGTTATGCAGAATAACAATGCAAACCACTTTTGCCTCAGAGTCATGTCAGAATTCCTAACCAAACTTGAGTTTAAAGTGAAAAACTATAAAAAGCTTAAAAAAAGACTTAAAAAAGTTAAAAAAACTAATAAAAGGTAATGACATATTCATAATAGAAAACTTGGGGATGTCTACTAAATTATTATAGAGAGAGAGCATGTCCGGACCCCCCAAAAAAGCATAAACGGGTCTCAAAAACCCTCAAAACAATTTTGGGGGTTTGGCTCCTCAATGGGGAAGGGTCCTGGACCCATTTTTTTTTCATTTTTTTTTCCTCGAAATTTGGCAGATCCGGACCATCTAGACCGGACGTCCGGATCGTAGCCATGAAAAATAGATTTAGTATTCCCTGTAGGATCTGCCAGTTGTTATTGGTTACCGCTTGACTATTTTCTCCAGGCTGACCGAGATATATTGATTGAATAAATTCTTACTTGGTTGGGTGTCAGGCTAAGGTAGGATTCAGTGTGGATTCTAGTTTAGATCACACTCCACTGTAGCTCATGAGTGAAGTTGTTAGTAGTGAGGAGGAGGAGTTAGTGGAAGATCTTAGGGTTAATAGCAGAACTGCTCTCAGTCGCCCTTTGACCTTCCTGGAGATAGGTCCAGGAGAGGAAAGGAGGCTGCGGAGAGAAGCTAGGGAGAGGGAGGCATTGCGGAGGACAAGGGCGGCATTGCAAGCTAGGACCATAGCTAGCACAAGTGTGACCATGGCTACCTCCTCTACCATGTCACAGGCCTCTTCACAGGCCACTTCGTCAGGAGTCAGTCAGAGTACTCAAGGCTCCATAAGTCAGACTGTTGGCGTGCAAGTCAGCCAGCGGCCCCTGCTCACTCCGGAGGATTATGAGATCCTCCAAGCGGAATTTGTTCATGATGAGTTGCAGCGGCAGCTGAGAGAGTAGAAGAGAGAAGAGAAAGGGCTAGATTGAGAAAAGTCAGATTATGCACTAGGTTGCAGGACCTAAGAGGACTAGAGGAACTAGATGATGCTACGTTAAATATTGTTGATCAGTCGCTGCGCAACTCGATACTTTGTGTGGCAGAAACGCAGGTAGTTCAACAGGAACTGTTGGCTGAACTAGTGGCAGGCCAGAAACGAATTTTGGCTGCCCTTCAGTCATGAGGCAGCCTCAGTTCTCTGTAGTTCCCCCTTCGGTTGCAGGTCCTTCAGTGACGCCGTCGGTCAAAGCTTCTCGCCTATGTATGGCATGCCTCTCTCAGGCGGACAACCAGTAGGTAGTGGTCCGGTCCAAAGAGCTTCTTCTGTACCATCCACGACGGGGGTAACTACAGTCCCACCGTCAGGACAGGCCCAGGTTAGCGGGCAGCAATTTGTCTCAGTGGCTATGCAGCCACCGCAGCAATCACCTGGGTAGGTCCAACCTATGCAGGGGATGCCCAAGATACCCTTGCTTGGTCCCAAGCCCTTCTCTGGCGACAGGAAGAAGGACATGGACTTGGATACCTGGGTGAGGACTATGCCTACCTATGTGAGGCACAAGCTCACCAGGCCAGAGCAAGAAGTTATTGTTGCTGCCTCCTTTTTAGAAGGATCTGCAACACGTTGGTTAAATGGCTTAGTGCAGCAACAGGGCTACAATCATAAGTTTGATGTCTGGGCCCAGGCCTAGACATTGGAAGACTTCGTACGGGCTGTGTATAACAGGTGGCATGACCCTCAAGGGGCTCACAAGGCCACTGACGCGATCAACAATCTTTGTGCCAAAAGGTACAAGAATGTTCGCGAACTCACAGAAACCGTAGAACGTCTGCTTGTGGTACCTGGGGTGCGCTACGACCAGCAGGTACTTCTCACAGATTACCTGAGATGTCTGTCTGCAAAGGTTAAGACTAAGCTGGTGGACGAGGCCTATGTTGCCCAACATAACTTCGACTCTTTTAGCAAGAAAGCCTTAGATATAGAGGCAAAGCTTGGGTCCGCACATCAAAGTCAAGGCGATGGTAGCAAGAAGAG